CCGCACCCCTCACACACACTGTCAATGTGTACACCGAGCCCCAGTGCTTATGGATCCAAGGCCACAGAAACCACCCATTACCCAGGGGTCCCACTCATCAGCCAAAGGACCCAACCATAAGCCAAACCATCCATCAACAGCAGCATTGGAATCACTTAACAGCCAGTAGCTCCAAAGCCGAAAGCAGAACTCCTGGGCATAACATCTGGAGAGCCCCCAACTGTAACCCTTCCAAAGAAGCAGGGAAAAGTCTGGAAAACACCAGTAGCCACCTAATAGCTGACCTAGGATGCCATGCAGGCCACAGTACATGAACAGTCAACCCTGACACCAAGACAACAGCTGACAGTGCAGGCCAACTCACCAGAACAATCAGGCCTGAGACAACCTTGAGACAGTGCAGCTTGGCCAGTACTGCTCAGGCAAGAGTTCCTGTGAATCCAGGGAAGAAGCAATGAAGCAAGCACAGTGTGGACTGGTGATCATAAGGACACCTGGTGAAATTGGCCAAAGCTTCCATTTCCAAGGTAGGACTCTGCAGTTTAGGTAGTGTAGCCAACACTCCAGGGAGAGGAGTCTTAAGGCATGTCTGTGTCAGCTGCAGTGCCTAGGTAAGGGTGTCTAGTACCAGAGTCGTATGCCTGCCACACACAGAAAGGCGGATCTGTAGTAATTGCAGACAGCCAGTAATACCAACAGGGGGGCAGGTACTAGAGGGAAATAGCTGGTATCTCTCAGGGGAAGCCTGATACCAGAGTGACGCAGCCGATGTCTACAAATTTGGAGGGAAAGTAACTAAAACCAATACTATAGGTGATGGAGTTCAGGGCTGTAGTGACTAGGATAATAACATCACTCAGGAAAACTAGAGGCAAAACAGTGATGGCAGTGCTTGGAGGGAAATTCATAGCAATAAATATCTACATTAAAAGACAAAGAGCTTCCAGTTACGATGGCAGCTTAGTGAAAAGCGGCATAGTATCACTTTACAACAAAGACTCAAGAAACTAAGTGAAAGAGACACAAAGAACTACCTCAGATCCCAGAACATCAAATGGAGGGTGGAAGAAATGGACCAAACAACAACTGGAAGGAGAGAAAGAATAAGACCAGCAGTAAAGCTGAGATTTAAGGATAGTTCACACCATGCTGGTTGACCCAGCACAGCATGGCCACTTGGGGACAGCAGAAAGCATCATCTTCAGCTGAATTCAGGAAGGTGACCTCATAGAAAACACAGCCAGAGGTGGAGACACTGTGTAAACAAACCTGGGAAAAAATGATAAAGTAGGCAGGACTCATGCCGAGACTAGACGTGCCTGAGAGGGTGATGCGCTGAAGAGACATGGCTTTGAATCTAGGAAACCACAGGGAACTGCTATTACACAGGGGACAGAAAAGACAAGGAGGGTAGATTTGAGGAAACGAAAAGGGGAAGTCTAAGAAGCTTAGTGGCCTTTGTGAGTGCAGAGAAGGGAGCTAGGAATTGGTGCTGGGACTGGTTGTTAGCAGAGGTGCCTGTCCATTTGGATGGAAAACCCACTGAATAGTCAACCAGAAGAGTAATAGTTACAAGCCCCTCCTCTGAGAAGCCAACCCATCCTGGACCCTTTCCCTCTCATTTGCACAGACCCTGTGCCACCCCCTCCCTTCTCATTTTCACAGGCAGCCCTCACATGTGCATAGGCTCCACTCCCCTCCTTCCTCAGTCACCTGGAAGTGCAGAGGCCCTGCCCTGTTACCCCTTCTTCCCCAGCCATGGGCCAACTGCAGGTGCCATGACACCCCTCCTTCACCCAACCTATTCATGCCCACACTGTGACCAGGTGCATGCCTGCTTAGAGGGCTTGCTTCACTCACCTGCGAAGCTATGCCTCCCTGTGACTTCACAGATGACGGGTCCTTTCTCCAAGGACCACACTAGCTGTTCATGCCAACGCGGAGAGACTGCACTGTCCTTCAAGTGCTGCAGAGGGATCATGACTACCTGACGACCCTTGTGCCTCACAATGGCGGAGGGACCCTGCTTTCTCAACTCCATGCAATCCTCCATGCGTAACGACACAGAACCCCTGTGCGCATGCAACCCACCAGACCCACCAGTGAGAGGAAACCACACATAGCCAACCTGCAGCATCAAAGCCAGAGTATTACAATAACACAAAACAACAAGAATGAAAATAATTCATAGAAAGGCAAGCAATTTAAACACAAAGGTAATAAGCTAAGCTCCTGATATATTAAAACAAAAAAAAACCCATACAATAAATATATATTAAAAAAAAAAAAACAGACCAAAAACAAAAAACCCCAGAAATCTCAGAATAACGTACAATAAAATGGCAGAATCAATCTTGCTCTATCAATAATTACCCTGAACTTCAATGGATGAAGCACTTCAATCAAAAGGCAGAGACTGGCAGACTGCATAAGAAAACAGGATCTATCCACATGTCGTCTACAAGAGACACATTTTAGACCAAAAGATTAAAATGAAGAGACGGAAAGGATGTTCCATGTAAACAGTATCCAAAAGAAAGCAGAGGCAGCCATACTGGTACAGAAAATTGAAGAGGAGTTGTTTGGATATACTGAATTTTAAATTGTTATGGGACATCTAAGTAAAAAGCAAAGAAGAGGAAGTGCCTCAACAAGACAGATGGACGCAGTGGCTGCAACAATGTACTCAAGCCCGTGAGGATGGCATAGCACCGGGCACTGCTTCATTCTGTTGCACATAAGGTCGCTATGAGTCACAACAACTGAACAGCACCCAACAACCACGATCTAAGTAACAGTATTCAATAAGCAGTTAGAAATAACGTTTAGAGCTCAGGAGAGAAGCTAGGATTCAAGCCAGCATGGGAGTCAATGGAGTCAACAGGTGGTGCACATGGATAAGCACCAGACTAACAGAAAGGTTAGTGGTCCTAGTCTACCCATAGGCACCTCAGAAGAAAGGTCTGTTACCAAAAGGCCACAATCTTGAAAACCGCATGCAGCACAGATCTGCTCTGCAACACATGGTGTCAGTATGAGTCAGAAGCAACTGAACACTAATTACTGGTTTTGGGAGTCAGCCTATTAGTATAGGTGGCAGACAAAGCCGTATCTATGAATGGCATTGTGTAAGAAGGGTATTGAGAAGTAAGTAAAAAGAGAAAGAAAGCAAAGGAAGGAACAAGAAAAGAGGAGAGAAGGAAAGAAAGAAAAGAAAAAGGACAGACTTTTAACGAGTCGGACTCGACTCATAGTGATCCCTCCTTGGGTTTCTGAGGCCGTATCACTATGGAAGTAGCCTGCCTAACCTTCCTTCCAAGGAGTGGCTGGTGGGATTGAATTGCCAGCCTTCTGGTTAGCAGTCAAATGCCTTAGGCACTATGCCACCAGAGCTCCTTAACTAAAGTGCCCAGGGAAATGAGGGAGATGGCAGAGATAAAATCTGCAGCACAGAAGGAAATTGCCTTTAACAAGAAACAGGCCACCTCTTTTCCTCTGAAAAACAAAACATGAGTAGAGCAAAAATGAGCTGATCACCCACACTCACAATTTTCTTTACGACAGAAAGAAAGGCAATATGCTGGGGGAGGGAACAGAGTCTAAGGAAAGTGATGAGGTTTAGATCAGCCACTGTGGGAACTGGGAGCAAGGCCACATGAATAACAAAAGGCTTACACTGAGGGCTCTTCTGAAGTTGGAGGCAAGACACTTGTAGTGATTGCACTCTGAAGGGCTGCATGACTTTCAAGTGGAACTCAGCATCGAAGAAAAGGTGGATGGTAAGATTAATTCAATGTTGAGAGCTTGAAGAATGACGAGACTGAAGGACCCGGGGAAGAAGAGTTGAAGAAATTAGCAAGTGGGTAGTTCATTCGGTACCCCATAAGGCTGAGGCTGGAAAGGAAAGAAAAAAAATCTGAAAGGGGGTGACTGCTTAGGAGAAATGATGCTGTCAAGAGGAGGCTGTGAAAAGCTAAAGAGATGGTAAAATGGAAAAAAGGAAAGGAAAAATCAACAAAAATAAGGGAGTGGAAAAGCTGGAAAAATTAGAACTGTCATCAGTTAATGGGCTACTGAAATGTAAGATTTCAGAAAGCGAAACTTGATCAGGATTCTAGGTGTGGCCATCAGAGTAAGCTGCTGGAATGTGATGAAGTCATCGGTGCAGCAGTCAAGAAACTCTGCACCAGGAGTATCAAATAGAGCATCTCCCCAAGATGATAACAAGAGTTGAGGTAGACAGAAAGACTGTAAGATACCAAGTTAGGTTGTCTGGCCTTTAGCAGTCACACTTTCTACTAAAGGCAAAAAAATACTAAAATTTCAATACAATTTGAACAAATGCCCCCTAAGGGCATATGAGCTAATAACAAACTTGGCTTTTAATCATCATTAATCATTTCATAAACCACACATTTTCTTTTAAAGAAAAGAGGAAATCATTTCAAAATCTTTATATCTACTTGTAGTAAAAATTTTAATTGCCATAAGTAGTTCATGGCAAAATAATTAAACACAATGATTCCTTTGAGGAGTCTTTCATTATTTATATTTTGAAAATGGAATCTAAATATTCATCATGATTTTTCATTTTGCTATTTTTATATCCATAGTATTATCCATATTCAAAGAAGTGATCTAACTTGATTTTAATCTTGATGAGCTTCCATACAGGGAGATTAAAAACTAATCTAATGTAATAGAAAAATAATCTTCAGAAAACCAAAGGCAGTCCTCATTATAGTTACAGGATGTCTGTAGTTCAGGCTGTCAGGATAACACACACATTATTTTAGAAATTACAAATCATTCCTTCATAAGATTAAGAATACATAATGAAGGACAGTGCTGGCTTTTAAAAGAGGGTAACTATGCAGGATGTCTTTTTTCAGTGTAATATTCTCAAGCTCAGTGTCAACATGTCTTTTTTCCTAGAACTTTTGGCTTCATGGCTCATGTGTGTGTATATGTGTGTGTCTGAAAAAGAATATATGAATTGACTAAGTATAACAATGCTGAAAGAAATTTAAAATTTGTTTTGCATTTGTTGTATTCCATTCTTGTTCCTTCAGGGGTCCTTCACACACAGATACATACTTTTCCAAAATTTTTTCCCCTACTTCTCGGAAGTCCAAGGGTTCTGTGTGTGTAGTACAGCTTGCTCCAGAAGCATCAGTATCCACTTCATGATTTTCTGGCTGTTGATTTGCACAATACTTCAATCCCCAGTAACACATTTCTCCACTGTACATCATAGCCAGCAAATGAATGTCACTAAAAATTCCTGGGAAAGTCATTTAGGTTGAAAGATTAGAATTAAAAAGTTATTTTAAAAACTCTATGTATTTAAACTCTAATAAATTCCTATTACATCATTAGGCTTTTTTCCTAGAAAAATCGAATATCCCTAATATAATCCTCATTTAATTGGCACTTTTATCCCTATTTTATCTATAAAAGGTAAAGGCTGATCACAAGTACAAAAAAATACTGTCAAAGATTTTTTTTTTTTTTTTAATTTAAAGAACCATCTGGGGCAGTGTGCTCCTAACTTTCCTGGGGTCTTCTGCAGAACCTCTTTGAATATCTAATCTATAGAATTTCTCTCCAAACATAAACCCCAAATTGTGTGCATAATTTCAGAGTACTCACAGACTCCCTGAACCTATGCATCAACAGAACTGGAATCAATGATAATGATACAGTCAAGTATCCTACTCTCCTATGTAAGAGTCTACAGAAACTAAGGTGCATCATCACGACCTGAGAGGCCACATGCTATTGAACTTATCAAAATTAATAAATTATACCCAAGATCCTTTCTATTCCAAGGAAGAAAGTATTCTTATTATGGGGGTGGGATGGTTGGAAAGGTGGGGAAGTACATTAATATAATTCAACACATATTAGCATACAACATGTATTAATTCAGTAGAAAGACATACAGACCTAGAATCAAAAAGATTTCACCTTAAGTTTCTGGTTCTGTGACCATGGGCAAGTCACCAAACTCTTTGAGCCTCAGTGCACAAACTTAAAATCTCTACTTCCTGGAGTTTTCTTAAGGAACACTCAAAGTAAAAATGTATAAAGCTTCACAGAAGAAACTATAAAGTGCTACTAAAATGCATGGCCATTTAACTTCTTAAAGCAATTAAAATACAAATAAATTATTTATTCCAATGATATAGGTGATTTAAAAAGGTTACCTCAAATGAATGGCTATAATAATCTCAATTGCTCACACAAAATCGTTATGATGGTACCAAACCAAACCCAATGCCTGTTGAGTCAACTCCAACTCCTAGCAACCTTATAGGACATAGAACTGTCCCATAGGATTTTCAAGGGTGTAAATCTTTACAGAAGCAGACTGCTACATCTTTCTCCTACAGAGCAACTGGTGAGTTCAAATCAATCTTACGGTTAGAATTTGAGGACTTAAGCACTGTGCAACAAGGGCTCCTTATAATGGTACAAACCAAAACAAAAAAACCAAACTCATTGTTGCCAAGTCAGTCCCAACTCATATCGACCCCTCCTTGGGTTTCCAAGGTGGTATCCCTATGGAAGTCGATTGCCCAACCTTCCTTCCGAGGAGTGGCTGGTGTGTTTGAACTGCCAGCCCTCCGGTTAACAGTCAAATGCCTTAGGCACTATGCCACCAGAGCTCCTTATAATGTTACAGAAACGTAAAATATGTATTTTTTAATTTTTATTTTCAAAATTGTGGCAGTTCCTATTGCCTTACATCTATCACGAGTATTTCATAGTCTTGGAATTTGTTCCTGTAGCGATCGCCTTCACTTCACCTCAAACTGAACTTATGAATAGTACCAAGAGAAGGAATAAATTCAGCAGACTAGCTAACTCATTAAAGGGTTACATCAATAAAAGAAATAACCGTTTAATAACAGAATTTGAGGCTTGCATTCCTGAAAATGAGAGGTTACCATATACTAATTCTGAAACACTCATATACAGGCATGCATCATGCAACACCCACCACATCACACATTCTGTGAAAAAGGATGCTATGTTAGATGTCACTGGAACACCATGTCATATACAGGAGATAAGAGGCACAGGACAATCATCAAGCAGGCCTTGGACACATGCCACCAGAGCCACTCCAAGGTACTGCACCAAAACTTTGGCTCTGTTGCTACAGGTTCTATGTGGTTGCTACCTGCTTTCAAAGAGCCACATCCAGCCCCTCCTACCCACTGCTGTACACACTCACCATCTAGCCAGTCAACTCCCAGCCTGCCCCGCTAGCTTCCTTCTCTTCCTTCCTCCCATCTGCCTTCCCCACCCCACTCAAAGGGCTTCTCTTTTCCAGAAAAGAAAAAGAAACCTGCCATTAGCCTTATGTGCTCATTTGACCTTAAGTTGGTAGCATGCAGCTTAAACATAAAAAGGACTGCACACAAGCAACCACGTGTATGATGCAGTCTCTCTACTTGTCAAAGCTTAGAGGGGAGACCACCAGGACAAGGAAAACCCTGCATCAGTTTCTTGACTCTCCTCCATTGGTATCTCATTATGTATGAAAAAAGATGACATACCTAGGATCATAATGTTATTCATAGTAATAATATAATTAACAACTATGATTCTTAGTGCTTCTTTATTCAGTACCAGGCAGTAATACTAATATTTTATTTGATCCTCATAACAGTTCTGTCAGGTAAATATTTATTCTCATATTATAGATGATGAAAGGAAGACTTAGTGAAGTTAAAGAACTCGCCTAAGATTACAGGCTTAACTCAGAGACATTACAGGTTTGGTTCCAGACCACAATAAAGGAAAAATCACAAAAAAATGAATCACACAAATTTTTTGGTCTCCCGATGCATATAAAAGTTATGTTTATACTATCTACAGTCTATTACCCACCAGCCACTCCTTGGAAGGAAGGTTGGGCAATCTACTTCCATAACTATACTGCTTCGGAAACCCAAGGAGGAGTTGCTATGAGTCAGAGACAACTCGATGGCACATAACAACAACAATGTAGCCTATTAAGTGTGAAACAGGATTATGAAAAAGTTTTGAAATAGGGTGAGGATTACTAAAATGTGACACAAATACATGAAGTGAGCACACACTATTAGAAATACACTTGCTCAGCACAGAGTTACCACAAACCTTTCAAAGGGAAAATCTGTAGGGCTTCGAGGCTTATGTACCCAACTATTAAACTACATCAAGTTAATCTTATGCATAAAATTCTCTAGGGTGCCTAGGAATTTAGGATTTTGTATATTGGTGGTACTTAAAAAATGCTGTTATTATCAATGAGTTTCAGATTTCATTTTACTATGTAATTAATAACTAACGTGTATAAGAAGATACAATCTCAGTAATGTCTATAAAACCCACCACAAATAGTCTAGCTAGTAAACCACAACTGGAGGAAAAAAAATGGATACAACATTAAACATATTTATTAAGGTATTTTATACTACAGGAGCTCTGGTAGCGCAGTGCCTAAGGCATTTGACTGCTAACCAGAAGGCTGGCAGTTCAAACCCATCAGCCTCCTCGGAAGGAAGATGGGGCAATCTACTTCCGTAGTGATACTGCCTCGGGAACCCAAGGAAGGGTCACTATGAGTTGAATCTGGCTCATTGGCAGTGAGATTTTATATTACATGTAGCACTGCATTGAGTGAATTTTTTTTTTGTGGTAATCCTACACCTTGACTAGTTATTCCTAAAATTGGCAGCTGGAAGGAAAGAAGGAAGTACAGAGACACAAAAACGGAGGGAGGGTTGAACTTTTTAAGCAGGCTAGAGTCTTAAGAGCAGAAATTGTAATGTGCCCCATAAAGTGAAGCCATTTGGAAAGACTGAGAAATATTTGCCTAAGGGAGATATGAGGCCCAATTCGTGTCCTACTCTGTGGGTTAGCCACAATCTTTTTATCAACAAAGAATGGCAAACACAGATGTCCCATGAGAAGGGGTTAATAGGGAAAGAATATATGGCTATATGCTAACTTTAGCCAACATTGGAATCACCTAGCGAGCACGCCAACTAACAGCCTAGGAATTTTCATTTTTAGCAAATTCCTAGAATTAGGTGATGCTGATCAAGACCTCTGGTGGGGTAGTAGTTAAGGCATTTGGCTGATAACCAAAAGGTCGAACCCACCAGCTGCTTCACAGAAGAAATATGGAGCAATCTACTTCCATAAAGATTTACAACCTTGGAAATCCAAAGGGGGTCACTATGAGTTGGAACTGACTCGATGGTAGTGAGTTTGGTTTTTTTGGTTTGGAGATGATGCTGATGCTGCCAGTGCAGGAACAACATTTTTTTTTTTTTTGGAAGTTGTCAAGAATTTCATTTTATTTGGATCCACAATCGACACCTATGGGAGCAGTAAACATGCTATCAAGCAATGTATTGTATTGGGCAGATCAGTTGCAAAAGATAGGAACAATACTTTAAAAAATACTGCCTTGAAGTATCAAAGGAAGAGATGAGCAATGTACAAATTAGGCATGGTTTCTTCTCTCTTTCTGGTCCTCCAAGGATTCTACAACTCTGTCCCCATAATCTCTTTGCTGCTAAAATTTTCCCTTGATATATGTATATGTTTTAATGATCAGCACGGTTTTTAAATAAAATACTTCACTTTGCACTGTGAATATCCTTGGTGAAGATGCATGTGATGGTGCAGCCAAGGAGAAAGAAGAAGTAGGTCAGAATAACCCATGAATTGAGAGTGAGGCAGAAACATGACTTTCACTGAAAAAGGTGGTCAGATTAGCATCCTCTAAACAGGGACAGCCAAATCTAGCTGTATCCTAAAAATTTGAGAAGTTTATTAAAAAGCTATTCCTGGGCCCCATATATTGAATCAGAACTTGCAGGTGATAGACAGACATTTGTACTTTTACAAGGTACCCAGGCAATTAGTGATGCCAATTCAGAGCTGCTCCTTCAGGGATCAGAAATTCAGGTTCCGGGTAAAGTAATAGCCCAAATGACTGCAAGAAGGGAGGCCTCAGGGTATTAAAAAAGGGTATAAACCAGAGGTGTGCAAGGCTAGAGAGTATTTTGATTTAACCCATTTGACCTCAGGATTAGTTTGGCAAGGTTATATTTTTATAAGGCCATGTCTAAAGATTAAATTCACCGGCCCCCACTCACAGAGGTGTTTAGGCTCAGGGATACAGTGAAGAGGTTTACTGAATACATTACTTGGTAATTTTTAAAAGTTGAAAATTTAATGGCATACAAATAATGTCCAAAAGACAATAAAACTATTTTAAATTGGAAAAATAAATAAAAAATCATACTAAATATACACTGCTGAGTTTTAGGTAAATTATCATCACAATTTGGCCACAAAAATATTTTGATGCTTCATTTAGAACTTTTCCCTCTAAGTTCTAAGGATTATTCAAAATCATGTTGTACAATGGTTCACCAAAAATAATTAGAGACTCTCCAACAAAGTCTTATGAGCAAGGCAGCCTATGGAATGTTAGTTTTCTGGCTTCTAATCCAATCATCTTGAGAGATGAATTAGGGCTGAGTAACCTGCTTTAGATGACAGTAGAAGCCACCACCATAAGAAGAATAAGCACTACTGTCAGCTACTCAGAGGAGGATCTATGCAGGAGATCCCACTTAGAATAGGAGAACAATGTGGAACAAAACTCAAAATCATAAAAAAAAAAAAAAAAAGACCAGGTTTGCTGGTCTGATAGAGCCTGGTAAGACGCCTGTGACTATATGGCCCCTAGTTACCTTTCAGGTCTGGAACTGAACTCACTCAAGTGGCTTCCAGCCAAACAATAGACAGACATATAGGGTGAACATTGACATCAGGTAAATATACTCCTTGGAGCAATCAATCATGGGAGAACAGAAGGGCAGTGTTTGCACAGGGAGGTAGCTGGGGGGCAGAAGTACATGGGAGGGAAGGACACAGCGAAGAGGTAACTATGGGGGGAAGCTGGAAGAAAGCCGTTACATTGTGAGGAATTGCAGTCAATGTCATGAAACAAAATGTGTATGAACTGCTGTATAGAAAATGAACTTGTTCTGCAAACTTTCACCTAAATCACAATAAAAAGGATTAAAAAAAAAAGAAGAAGAAGAAGCACGGTAGCAAAACTTCTGTGGTACTTACTTACTGTCTTTTCTTTTTCCTGGAAAATGCTTTTTGATTCTATCTGACCCTCACTCACTCACTCAACTGACGCCATTGAGTCAATTCTGACTCACAGCAACCTCCGTTGGGTTTCCAAGGATGTAAATCTTTATGGAAGCAGACTGCCTCATTTTTCCTCCGCAGAGCAGCTTGTGGGTTCAACCCACTGACCTTATGATTAGCAGCCAAATGCCTTAACCACTATTCCACCAGAGCTCCTCCGCAGAGCAGCTTGTGGGTTCAACCCACTGACCTTATGATTAGCAGCCAAATGCCTTAACCACTATTCCACCAGAGCTCCTTTGTCTGACCCTAGTGTAATTAAACTATGATTTAAGACACCAATGGCACATTCTTCCTGAAGAAAAAAATTCCAGCCATGAGAGTATCTTACCTTATGATTAGAAATGAGAGAACAAGGCAAATGAATGACTTGTACCATTTTTTAATTCCTTTTTTCTTTTATATAGTATCAGATATTAACAGTTCAATTTAATTAATCTATGTGGATGGGATGAGAAGACTCTCAAAAGGCCATTTTAAATACCACTAATTAACTCATTAGTTATGTGGAATTAATACCTTTCACAAATACATAAAACACCCCAGGTTTATAAAAACATCATGCTCAGTAAGGGAGCACCTTCATTCACAGTAAGACTTTTTAGAATAAGCTGCTTATCTGAATTAATTTTTGGACACCACTAACCACTCATATGTTAAAGACAATGGAGCACCTAACAAAAAAAGAGGTGAAAAATTTAAATCTGCTTAAAATTATAGATTTTTCTCTAAGATAATTGTCTTTACCTATTTGATTTCCCACCATCAAAATTTCAGATGATGTGTAAGAGAAGAAAGCTGACACATAAAATCTAACGTCATTTAAGTAGTAAAAGTGGTTCTCCTCCCTTTCAACTTCAGTCTAAAAATGAAATAATGCTGTATAGCTAATTCCTAAAATTTTTAATTGCATATATATTTGTGGAAGAAACTAAGAGCTGCTAACAAATATCCATTCTCCTCTTCTTTCTTAGTAGAGAACCTCGATTATATTTAAGGCATCATTGTATCAGGTAAGAGACTTTATTTTCCAGGTTCCCTTATAGCTAGATGAAACCATCTGGTTAAATTCTAGCCAATGAAATGTAGGTGAAGGTTTGTAAGAAACTGTTCAGCTAACATGGCCTTTTGCCATTTCTGTAGCCTGAAAAATGGAGGGGATGGAAGGAGCTCCAGGAGCATCTTGGGAAACTGCAAATAGAAGCAATATCCTAAACAGGGACAATCATGTTGCACAACTCCAGTAAGCAATGGTTATATTGTGTTGTTGTTGTATGTGCTGTTGAGTTGGACCCGACTCATAGCAACTCTTCCTTGGGTTTCTGAGGCAGTATCACTATGGAGGTAGATTGCCCCATCTTCCTTCCAAGGAGTGGCTGGTGGGTTTGAACTGCCAGCCTTCTGGTTAGCAGTCAAGTGCCTTAGGCACTAAGCTACCAGAGCTCCTGGTTATATTGTAGTCTATAAAAAACGTCTCCCTCTGGAACAGAAGGGCTGTGTATGCACAGGGAGACAGCTTGGGGGCAGGAGTGCATGGGAGAGAAGGACATGAGGAAGATGTAACTATGGGGAGGAAGAGGGAGGGGAGCTGTTGCATTGTGGGAAATTGCAGTCAACGTCATGAGACAAAGTGTATGTGAGCTTCTGTATGGAAAGTGAATTTGCTCAGTAAACTTTCACCCAAATCGCAATAAAAATTAAAAAAAAAAAAAAAATTGTCTCCCTCTGAAGCTGAGGAGCACTGGTTCTAAAGACTATGGGGGAAAAAGATAGGAATCTGATAATACCATTAAGCCACCATACCAGCTCTGCCCTTGTTTACCTGAAAGAAAAGGAAACATCTACCTTGTTTAAAAGTTACTTCCAGTCTCTGTTACAGGCAGCCAAACCTAAATTCTGATAAATACCGACGGGAATTATACAAAGATGCAAAATAAGTAACATAATACATAACTCTCCCACAATTACTAAATGGAAGAGGATAGCAATATTTTCCTATATCACAAGAAGATTTTTAATCTTTGAATCTTTTTGAGACCTTTTATTAATTTTTGTGTATAATCTAACTTACAATTAGAGTAAAATCTAGCAAACTTCCTAAAATCTTAAAGAGCTTTAAAACACTTAGAAAACTTCAAAAGGCTGAAATTACCTTCACTCAGTAATTGAGCTGTCTCTATGTCTTGAAAGGAAACTCCTTCATTTAACAGGACAGGACACCGATAATTTAGCATCTGTAGCAAGTAACTGATTCCATCAACAAGGTACTAAATGAAAGTCAAAGCCAAAGAAATTAAAGTATTATACACAAAATTGTAGAAACTTCAAACATTAAGACTTTTATAATATAAGTATACCCTCTAAAATGCCCTCAATTAGTAAAACCAAAAACCAACCAAACCCATTGCCACTGAGTCAATTTTGACTCATAGCCTACAGAACAGAGTAGAATCCCCCCTTAGGGTTTTCAAAGCTGTAAATCTTTGTAGGAAAATATTGCCTCATCTTTCTCCCACAGAATGGCTGGTAGGTTTGAACCACTGATCTTTTGGTTAGCAGCCAAATGCTTTAACCACTACACCACCAGAGCTCCTTAATTAGTGAGACAGTATGGTTAAAAACATAAATGAATAAATGAAGAACACAAAGATATTATCAGAGGAAGAAATGATAAAGTCATGTTCAACAATAATTTATTAAAAATATGTACTACCAATTTATATAATTTAGAAATAATAAGATCAATCTTTTACATCTGAAAGTGTGACCTCCCGTTTCTAAGCCCATCTAAATCATCTGTAAATGCAACCTCAGCTAAAAACGTTAGGTCTTTGGATTTAATATTGGTCAGAAGAGTTAGGATGAATCAAGTCACAATTTTCTAGGAGCAGGGTCACTTTAGGAGCCATCTGCTGGCAAAGAGAGGTTCACAATCAAGTTTGTTTTTCTGCAGGCCAAAAAAACACACTTAGGAATTAATATAATTAATTTAACTATATTTAAAAAATAAAAATCTAGAACTTAAAGCATACAGAACTCCCAGATCACAAAGAACTTTAATGTGTTATCTTATGTAATCACCACAACTTCTCCAATTTATTTAAGACTGCACAGCTACTAAGTAGAAGACCTGAACTCAAACTCAAACCCCTGGATTCCACTACCTTTAATACTACACTAAAGATAGCTTTTTGAAACCTATAAATATCAACAATCAAAAATGTATGAGGAATGTCTTTTTACCTTTTTAAGCAAACCAGATTTTCTTGAGAGCCACTCTCTCCTTTTGGTCAGAGAATGGCCGTACATGTAGAGCAGGGCGCCACGTCTCCAAGACAGACACTCCAGGAGCTCATCCCCTAGCAAACTGCAGGGCTAAAACACACCAAAGATACAGCTAAAAAGAAGAACTTATTGTTTGTAAAAACCAAAGTTAAATTTTTTAAAAAATGGAGCAATGAAAAATACCCTCATCACCCTATTTGCCTTTCTCTTCCTTATACAAGAATGCCTTCCTATGAATTGATTTGATATATCAATATCTATTCCTATACGCAAATTAAAATAAAATTACCTCAATTTACAAAGATTATTTTTCTTTATAAACTAATTTAAGGAGCTCTGGTAGCATAGTGGCTAAGGCACTTGACTGCTAACCAGAAGGCTGGCGGTTCAAACCCACCAGCCACTCCTTGGAAGGAAGGTTG